CAACTTTAGGCACGATAATATTTTTACAAAATGGATTAGCTTAGGAAAACTCTAATAATAATAATAAAATTAAAATTTGAGATATGTATGTATATTATTTATCATTTCTATTCAATCTAATTAAGTTAAATTATACTTCTTCAATTGCATGGGATTTATTAATGGATTAATTGTTGTTATTAAGCTTTGTAATAACATAACCTTAGTTGAACCAAAAACATTCAAATCTTTATTTCATGATATCTTTTTATATCTTGTTCTATCTCTCATTGTACCACTCATACTCAATTGTCTCATATATTTTAAGTATGATGTCTAGATTTAAGCAATATTAGGATTATTAATAATTTTATGTGATTCAAATATCAACAAATAGAAGAAATACATCATAATTTCTTAAAATCAATGATGTACACAAAATTATTTTCCTTAAAAAAACATTTCACCTTTATAAAGCTTTTAAAATTACTTTTTCCTAATATTCTTTACATATAACACAATGGGGGCGTAGTTCAAATGGTAAAGTGCTTACTTTGCATGCACGAATTCTTTTTAATTTTATTATTAATAATAGTATTATTTTTGCTCTGCTCTTTGGTTCAAATATTATTTTGGTAGATAAGTTTCATATCAGCTGGATTCTGCGGTCCATTCCATGATTTGAGTCCATTTCACTATTAAGTTCAGCCTTGGGTTATCAGTAGTCTAAGAACAAGCTATTTCCATGTTTTATGTATTCAATCTGCTTCTATCTTTGATCTTTTGGTTGCATCCTATTCTGATTATTGTCTGGTGATGTCAACTAGCTGAAGTCAAGTTTGATGCATATTAGTTCAACATAAGTGCTAATCTGTTTTGGTCATCACCAAGTTGCAAAGCCATGAAGAACAATCAAGCCACAGTGAATCCTTTTCTTCCAAGGACATGAAGGAGGATGAAGCTGTTGATCCCTCATCTTTTTGTTCGAAGTCCATCCCATACTGCTCCACCGTAATCATAGCAGCCACCAGTATCGAAGACCTTCCCGTATCAGTAATCGAAGTCTTTGTGCATTGTGGCCATCAAGAGTGTCTTGCACTGTAAGCACTCTTAAAGATCATTGCAAGTGTTTTTTATTAGCAGTGATCTCCTTGTCCTGAAACAAAGACATTATCTACTGATTTATGTATGTCAGCAAATCCATTTTATATCTTCAGATACAGTGGTACCTTCATTGGAACTTGAATCCTTGACCTTGACCTGTCTCAGATCAAGCTAATCTTTTGCAAACACAATGAAGCAGATATCCACACACAAGTCACCATAAAAATATTCCATACCCATGTTCTTGTACTGGATGCAAGGAGCCTGGAAGTTGCCATAGGTGGAGGATGGTGGTCTCTGTTGAAACAAGGTGACTCTTCAAGTGAAGGTGATAGACTGTGCTGTTTCCAGGTTGTCCCTTCTCAAGGATGAGATTCTTAACGAAGAGAAATAGATTGGTTGAGCAGATTGAATGATTATTAAACCTCGGTATTATTAAGACACTTGGAATTCCCACTTTTGATGTATGATTCTGCTCAGGACATAGAGAAGTGGGAGGAGGGAGATGGTCATCATCATGTGCCTCTTGCTTCAGCACCTTCTTCTTTCCCTTCCAAGCTAAATTAATCTCTCCACTTCCTTTCATGTAATGCCTTTAGATGAGGTTTTGGGCATAATCTTTTGAGGCAAATCTTGAAGTGACACATGGTTTATCCCCAACCATTTTTAACTGGCACTTGTAGATTATCAAGATATCTCTGTGGCTACTTTATTATTATTTGTACTTCACACTCTCTATTTTAGTATGTTTCAATCTTGTCACATGTTTTTTTTGTCAGTTGTTATAAGTGATTGTATCCTAATTCACTGCTTAACACTTTGCAGAAAATATAAGTGCATTTAATGTTGAAGACATATCTAATTCTTTATAGTTGAATTATTCTTTATTTCTTAGATTTGCAATCTTATTTTGTTCAGTTTGTTTGTGTTTTCTTAGACAGACATGAGAGGATTATTTCATCAATACATCATAGTGGGTTAAGAAAAATAGTAAGTATATTTCTCAAATATTTGTAATAAATTCAAACAAATAACAATGCCAGATGGTAAATCATGGTAAGATGAGAGCTGATTGATAATTAATCCAAAGATAATGAGGATAACTATTTAAACAGCCCTTTAAGTTTTAAAAGTTTGGTAGGAGATCCAAATTCTATTGTAACTCATTTCCAACCCATTCATTCTTAGGAGTCACTTCAATGAAGTCCTCAACTTTGGTGGGATTACATTGTGTTTGTTGATCCCTTAATTTGCAAGAAATATAGTCACAGATGCAATCAAGTGTTAGAAAAAGCTACATCATGGAAGATAAATATGTGAACTGTATGATGGCTTTGATTACTTTACATTTACTAATTACACAAGGGATATTTCTTTTGTTTAAAGATGAACCCACCATTGGACATACAAGTATATTTTTTATTTTCATGATTACTTGGGTTATAATAAAAAAATCTTTACCATTGTAGGAAGGCTCATCTTTAAAATACTTTTTTATTTTATTATACATTATAAAATTTTTAGTTAATGGACCATAATGCAATGACTGCAGTGTCATCTGAGTTACTAAGGTATACAATTTGAGAAGAGAATTGTTCCTCATGAGGCACAAATAACAGTGACAGTTCATTCACACTTTGAGTAGAGAATTGTTGATGTCAGTCCAGATGATTCATTCTCCACTTTAACAGTGAGCTTGTTGTTGTGTTGAAACCTTGTTAGGGGATGTGAAAAATCATAACAAGCATACCAAAGTGGCACATATTTTAGATTATCTTCTACAGTATCATCTGACAGCTTCAAGAACAATGTCCTGCTGCAGAAACAAGGGCAAGAGGACCAATGAGATGGCATAGAAACTATCACCCTGCAAATCTCTCTCTCTCTCTCTCTCTCTCTCTCTCTCTATATATATATATATATAAACAACCTGTGAGGATAGAAAAGTTTAAATGAACTATGTTACACATAGTAGAGAATACTTTTGCTCCTGTGAAGAAACATATTCAATAAATTTCAGAGATGAGTGAAAGAGCAATGGAGTGACAAATTACTATACTTCTGTCATCAGTTAACATTTACTTGGAAGATGGATAAATCTTCAAATGTTATTACAGAAGAGGCTTGAAGATTTCTGCATTGATGAGGGTGACAGATCTAATAGCTAATGTTTATGAGGGTTCATTAAACAGCTATGACAGACACCAGTTTAATGATAATAATCTGATCTCAGCCTATACATTTCTTCATGGTCACAGTAACACAGCAGCTTATAATCTTTCTCCATCAGTGTATTTCCTCCAAAATAAAAGCAAAAAAGGGCAACTATTTCACCAAGCAATGCTCAAGGACCACCTTGAAGAAAAAGTCCAGTCTGTAGTTCTGGCATTAAGTCAAATAATCCTGTTTGGAGTTTCTGCCACAGGCATAGTACAAAATGCAGCAGAGTAACATATGTGAATCAGTACACTCTTCTCACCTTCCTAGGATGACTCCTGTAGATTTCCTTATGTAAACCAATTTAGAATGATTAGAACAGGAACTCTGTGGTCCCTCTCGTTCAAAGAGTTGGGGAGTCCCCAATCATTGCAAGTTGGATTTGATGCCACAAGTTGAAGACTTTGCATCACTCTTCTCCTGTGATATATTCCTGCACACAACATTCTTCTTTTCTTTCTTTCTTTCTTTCTTACTTGTAAGACCATTCTTGTCTGCAGTTAATATGGTGAAGCACCACCATACTATAACACACCCTCTTGAGTTATTTCAAGGATGCATAACCAAAAGATGACCATTAACAAGCAGCTAAAGGACTTTTGTTTCTTGACATGAAAGAAGTAATGATGTCTCAAAGAAACACCTCATGATGAGGAACCTCCTTCGATGCTATGCTATATTTGTTTCTCTAAACATCTCATCTCATGATCATGATGGGGAACCACCTTCAATGCCATGATATATTTGTTTTTCCTTCCAAAGATAATGTACCAAAACTAACTTTTCTTTATTCTTAGAAAAATATATAATATGATTTTTCTAAAAATACCTAATTTATTGAGTTTTTTTTTCCTCAGTGTTTAATTTTCTTATTTATTATATTTTTTTCCTCTAATATTCTAAATAATTCTTATTTTGTTGTCTTCATCTCGCTACGAGGTCTCATCGACTCTATGTGCTTGCCTTTACCCTATCGTTTCCATATGATCATCTCTATCTTATCGCAAAGGCCTTATTTTTTTCTATAAGGTTTCATTACTTTTATCTCGCTACGAGCTACTATCGCATCTAAGTGGCCAAGCATGAAGATGAGAGAAGAAAAATACCTAATTTTTTTCTAAAAATATCTAATTT